ATTTCGTGAAGTTAAATGTAATTAATCTTTTTTTACATTCAACCGAATACAAGAAAAGCCAACGTGTAATACAGAAGTTAAGGTGATCTCTCAAGTATACTAAATGTTATAGAGATTAGTATGAAACAGTTCTAAGTGAAATATTATTTTTAAACAAGGGTGTTTTCAGTTATAATGTGAAAGATGAAATGGGTTCCAAAGATTTAGAAATTAATTAATTTATCTTTACAGCTTCGAATTGCCCCTCCACCTATGTAGTGATTATATATACTAAATTCCTATAAACAAAACAATGGTTATGGGAACCTATTACTGTAGAATATGATGTGAACGAAAGTCTACGCACCACAGCTCAATATAGTTGAATGGTAGTCGATTACTTTATATATTTCTATTTCACGTGACTCTGATTTCAAAAGACATTATTTATTTCAACGAGTACTCACGTAATTATATAGTTAACTGAAAAACTAATATTATGAAAAGATAAAAGACCAATGAAAATCACTCAAATAGTTTTCTTGATCAATATGAAAACTGTTATTATTCTATAATTGAAGTTGATTCCTTAACTAATGTGTATATCTATCGTCCGTTTTATCAAATTGAAATTCTCGTTCCTTTTTTTTCCGATTCACTGTTGTATTGCTTTTAAAAGTGGTTGACCTTATATCAACTATGGATTGATAAAAGTGAAAATCAGGTTTCATATTTCATGAACTGGCCACCATAGAACCAGTCATCTTAAGTTTAAGTTGTAATCTGTGATTTTTAATAAAATATAAAGCAGTGTATTTTCTGATTTGATTAATTTCGTAGTCTTATAACTTACTTTTCGGTAAAAATCTTATGATTATCAAATTTTAGCTTATTGGTGTTCGAACTTGATATCGGCTTCCAATTCCCTTACGTATCCGTTCTATGAACCTAGTCCGACCAATAATAGTATTTTGATATTTTTCACGTTTTTTTAGTCAAGATAAGTTATAGCTTCTGATCTCTGTAAATTATCTTCATATTAACACTCTAGAGTCTTCACTTTTTCCATTTTATTTTGATTAGATACATATCAGGAATAAAGAATATAAACTTTTACACCAATAGAAACAAACACTTGATTATATAACATTACTTGAGGTCTAATAATATTGTTAAGTAAATGATGCGATCTGACTGAACTATGCCAAAAAGAGATAGCCTATTCCTGCTTTGTTCTAGCCATATTAATCGCTTATAAATATTTTCGTAATTTAAACCTTATCCGTGAAAACACGTTATGATTAAATCTTTGTCCTCTGTTTTTGAAATTAAGGGCGTCGTCAATCTATACTTGGCATGATAATGCTCATTTAAAATTTAACAATATAGGGTTTGTGATTTTCATACATTCTATATTTTTATTTATTCTAATGTGTCATTCCTCTATATGATAAACAGTTCACATAAACGACTTTAGTAATCTGCTATAAATTATCACATAGATTTTGAAGGTTAACTCAGATACTGTCTGTTTTTTTGTTTTCTTTTTGAAAAAAGTGGGCATTATTCACACCTAGATATTACACAACATTTTGGAATATAGTAGTTCCGGATTTTAAAAAAATTACCAATAATAAGTGGAAAATTTTATACTCAGCTTTCAAAATGTCATTCTCACAATAGATTTATTTGTTTCACAATTCGCAATAGTGTGAATTCACTCAACAAAACATTCAACCATGATATAGTTCATTTATGACACAGTATAAAAGTCAGTTTACTTCCCATCCTGTTTATTAATTCATTGTTAATTATTTACCAATATAAAGAAGTCAGCCTGTAAACATCGTATATAGTTTTGATTGCTTCCTTTGTTTTATTTGAAGACTGAACTAAATGTAATTATGTATTAGTAGAATTTTATTTATACAAACTCAATATAAATCTCAATAGAACATTTCGAAGCTCTACAGTATAATAACTATTTGGGAATACAAAGAAATGACCAAAGTACTGTTTGTATATCTGTGAAATCTTTGTACTTTAATGACCAGTGAATTTAAAATTTAAACTCAAATAAATAAATAAACTAGACCATGTAACGTTATGGGGCATTTCGATATTGTTACTAGGACGTTTATATTAAAATAAGGCTTAAAACTACTTACCATTATATATTTATCAGTTTTAACTCTTATTTATTTTCAATGACCCTACAACTTTCAGAATATCCATGTTGTTTGATTTAAGTTTAAATGGGAAATAAATGATGAATACTTTTCGAAGTTTAAGTGATTCCAAAGAAATTCATTTATAAAAGCAATAATAATAACCATTTTATTCAATATTATGTGTTATTACAGTGTGAAGCTCTGAGGTATTTATCATGAACCAATTTAGATAAGAGAAAGCATGATATTCAAAATACAAGATTTACATTTTAAATTCATACTGATGTGTAGATCACTTTAATAAATGCTAAAGCACATATCGAAATAACATCGTTTTCTATATGGGATATATCTTGAAACTCATACATTCACACGTAATTGGTTAAGCACTAATATTAGAAAGGTTTATCATTGAAGTTTACTTGATAACTGTGAAGTTAGTTGAGTCCTTCAAGCTATTAAACCCTCAAATGCATAAACCCAATTACTGCAATTAGTTCAACGTAATGGAATAATCTTTTGTAAAAGTTTAACCTTAAAAACAAGCTGGATTACTGAGCAATAAAATCAGCTGAAAATCTGCAGCACGTTTAATAAACAACAGGAATCACTGTTCATCACATATTTTTCTTGTTTTCGTGTTTTCTAGTAAAATTTAGTGACATTTAATATTTCCCACAACTTTGATAACAACACGAAAATGTCGTAAGATGAATAGAAGCATCTGGAAAAATTCACATATGTTAAATTATTTGATAAACAAAGCCTATATATGGTGATTACTTACTAATGGATTTCTTAAAACTCATGTATCCATGTTCTCGCTAGTTGTTTCTATAAAATTTCCAAACGATCAGTAATCAGATAACTGGATATATTACTCCTAAAGTTTTAACTGAAAATATTTACCAACACAAATTTACCCGTGACTCTTGAAAACATCAGTGAATAACAAAAATAATAATTATTATTATCACTATTATTATTATTATAAATTCAACATATTTCACCACAAATTGAAATACTACACGTCCCACTTCATTCGCTATTACAACTGAGTCTTGAAAATTGTTACTGGTTTATCCCAATTACACTTTTGTGGCCCAATATCTGACTTCAATTTGATCGTTTCTGATTGTTATTTGAAATATACATGTCGCCAATCTTAGTACATTATCGTCGACTTAACTCGCATAGATGAATAACGGAAGTAAATAAGTTAAATACGAGAATGAATTTCGAATATATATATTTCATACGATCATTTATTCAGACAGACGATCAGAGAAACGAAGCGAAACTAAATGACGCGCAGCAGAGATGACATGTGAGCGAACTCAAACTAATTTAGCGCTAGTCAGTATTTATAGTTGGATGGAAATAAGTTACAGATATGTGATTAATAGGATAAGAAATGCACATATACGCTTACATAAAAACGGTCAAGGTTGATGAGCGAATAATTGATAAAGTCAAAAAGTGACTCAAGAAGAATAAATAAATTGGCCTGTCCGGAAGCCAGAATAAGCTATGTGCGCTTAGCATAGCAACCGATGCTACAACACAACCGATTAACATATTGGCATATTCATTTAAACTGTACAGCCATAGCGAAAAATATTCTTACCATAAATGACACGAACTTAGAATTTTATAAGCAGAGATGGGTGATGGTTAGTAGTGGGGTCCACTACGCACGTTTCAGTTGAATGTACTTGCAACCTACAGTTGATATCCACCCCTGGACTCGAACCCAGTACCATTCGCTTCAAACGTCATCACGTTATTACATTAGCTATTGAGTCCGGATAGAAACCAGCTTATACAATCGGGTGAAGTTTAATTCATTTTCGTATTGGTTGATTGAATCTTCCCATTGATGTTTAGGACTGCAATTGACCAATCTCTTATCGGCATATGTGCATCCCATGTGGATTGCGTCGATATTAACTTAAGTCACTCAGAGTAAAAGTTTATATTTAATGTTACTTGATTAATACTTATATTCAATCACAATAATCATACAAAGGTCTAACTTCCTACATACAGTGAACTTATAGATAATTTTCAAATAGTGATTTAAGTAATTCGATAATTAAATACCCTTCCTAAGTAGTAAACTGTATTTCGGACAAATACTTATTACTATACTGCGAATTTTTCAATTAGCGAAATCATCAGCGTGACTATTGAAATTATGACTAATAACTTTTACGAAATACTTCAAATAAATTATCACTTTTCCGTTATAACCATCTCATACGACAGTGTAGAAAGAATTCAACTCGCTACATCTAGCTGTTAATCAATATAAAGTAATTATGATGTTATTAGGTTTGAATGAAACTTTGAAAGATTTATATCGTATCATTCCCTACTATTCTTTTTTAGGCAGATTTCGATGAGCCTTTAACGTTTTATTGGTTTGTTTCTCCAGTTTCTGGATAGGATTTGTTTTTGTTGGTAGGTAAACAATCCATTTTAAAGTTATTTATCAGCTATCCGATTGTAGTTTTGAAAAGCATCCAATTAGTTAATGTTGTTCATTAAGCGGCCTCACCTAAAATTTTGTGCTGTAATTACATAACAAAGATTATATCAGAAATCCTGGTTTGCACTATAAGCGTCAGGCTAATTTTCCATAAGTAATATGTGTGGATGAACAACAATAATAATAGATGTATCAACATGTTTACGATAATTTTCTTACATATTTCTGATAGTGGTTCCGTTTCCCCATTCTTGTATCCAGCGAAATGGTAAGTTATGACACAAGCCTTTCAATACAATTTCTGGTGCTTGCACAAATATAAACAATTGTTCAAATATAGATTTCTTAATTTTTTTCAGACCTAAATACTACTTTTTCTCAAAAAATCATCTCTTCTTTGCAATAATCATCCTAGGAGTTATACAAATTGCTTATTCACAAAAAGATTTGGAAATTTTCCGCTTTCAAATTGCTCAGTGTTCAACAATGGCAACATCACTAAGTGCAAACCTAAGCTACTGTTTATTTTGCGTTCAAAATTATAAAGAAGAATGTAATAATTTATGTGCCTCCCGAGAAGAGGATCAAGAAATCTGTAGTCGAATATGTTGGCGCTTTGCTAAATACGGTACTTTTTCATGTAAAAACAATGTTGGCTAGAATTTAGTCAATTTTATAATCTCAAATAAATGAAATATATATTCTAATCAATTAAAGCCAAAATAAACAAACTATTATTCAGCTATATATGACTAATTTAAAAAAAAAAACTGAATAAAAAATATTTTAAAAATGCTGCAAATCGACCACTCAATTGTTTAATAAGATAATTTTCTTAGCACTTTAGTATTTATTCACTGAACCTAGAAGGTTTTCAAAAAATAATTCTGTTAGTTTGTGGACATTTCATTACTACCACTTTATTTTGCTTGACAATTCTAGGAAGCTTGTGATTACAAAAAAGAGATGGGACCTACTTTTCGTTAGATCATCCATTTTACTTGTAGTTATTGCAGCACTGATATTGATAACCACATATCTATAGTATGAACTATAGAAGTATTTTATCAGCTATATCCAAGATAACGTAACTATGAACTAAGATATGTTATTTACATGAAAGCACAATTGTTTATTCATGACTTTACATCTCAAGTGCAAGTATGCGGTAGTACTTAATAACGCGCACAAATTGATCACGGTTTCGTGCAAATTTTCCACAGAAATACATGTTAAACTAATTACTTAACAATAATTACCCCAGAGTTGGGAAGACTGCAAGCTACAAAATCATTTAGAACTGTACGTGAAACAGGATAGAAGGGAGATAAGATGAAAAAAATTCCTAGGAACCTTAGGTACCGTACAGTGAAGCCATAGAAACCATCTTAAGAAATATGTTGTGCGGTGGTTTGATTTTATTTTAACTGATAGTACAGATAGGTTAAGTATTGCTGCCTTTTTACAAAGTGGAAATTTCTAAGAGATAAAGGGAAGGTTTTTTATCACTGATGATTGGATAAGTGAACGTTAAACTTATAGAACAAAGTGCATACCAGTATCTTAGTAACACAATTTTGGTATTTTGTATATGCTCTCCATCTGACATTATATTCGTGTTCATGTACCTCTTTGATAGAAAAAAGCAGTACACAACTTCGTATCAAGCTATTTTTATCCAATGTTTAAGACAAAGTAACGTAATAAGACTAGATTTGAATTAGTTCGGTTTTTACTTCGTACAGTATTTTATTAGTAACCGTTAACTGAATAAAGTAGACTGACTTGATAAACCGAATTATAGGCAACTAATACACCCAATTATGTAATCTGTTAATGAGGAAATCATGACTTCCTTTGAATATCAATAGCTGAAACTATATATAGATATAAACTCTTCATCTGTATAACCGTAAACATTTGACACACATGATAAACTGGTAATTCGCAAATCTCTTATGGCATTCGCTTTTCCTGTCCATTGATTAGTATAAACTAAAAGCGAAAGTCGATATAAACGCAAACAAAGAATGACAATATCTAAGTATACTGTTTCTCTTGAACACTCGATATTATTTGGTGGGCAAATAAAAATGATAAAAAGAAGTCAAAAATAAGTATTTTATATTTACAAAGCATTACTGTACTGAAATAAGATCTGCAGGACCCAGTAACCTACAATGATAAAAAATATAAATAAAAAGTAAATATCTTTAAAGTGAATATGGCGAAATACTGTGTTTAGACGAGGGGAACGAATTATATTATGGTTTTCTGAAAGAGACATTTTGAGATTTTTCTGAACTTCAATACACTAGATAAAACAAACACGACTACATAAATGAATTTCTTCAAAAGCTGCCTGTTAGTTTGTCACTAGCTATTCACTTATAAGGTTTGAGTATCTTGGACGATCACGTTCGATATTCATGATACATAATGAAGTTTTGATCTAAGTGTTGTCATACTTATCTTTCACTGAGGGACTTTCAGGAAATGATAAAAAAGGATATAGGCAAGAACAGCTTACACTCCCAGAGGTATTCATTTTTTAAAAATTGATTATTAGCTGAATCGAAATCCCAATCCAATCATGAATGTACAGTCGCTTAAATATTATGTAAAGAAAGACAGTTTTGGTTATTATATGATGTTTAGTATTCTTGTCTACCCCAATTCGTATCGTACTTGTTATGTAGCTGTAATTCACTTTACTACTAAGTGCACTAAACTTCATATCCGAAAGTCTTTGGTCCGATAAATTAATCAAAATAAAACTTAACTAATGTTTAGTGTTCTCTAATGTTAACTGACTGAAATGTTCAAAGCACAAAAGTGGTTTAATTTCCCATTCTTCTATTAATAAGCAATTCGATTTTTTCAACGTAGTAACGAGCAAATGTTGCAAAACGTGGTTCTTGCTAGTTTCTTATTAGATTAGTCATTGAGCCGTTTAGTTATGATGTATGAAGTAATGTAATTACCTAAGTGATTGTGCTATTTTCAACTAATCAAATTCATACTCGATTAAATTCAAAACATATGCTAGTCACAGTCAATCCTAACACATTATATAACGTGTTTCTAGATATTGAAAATCATTACAGAACACAATAGCTTCTTACTGACATACCGTGTTTAGGCTTATAAAGAGCGATATGTTTTGGGATGTTTACGTGATGACTTTTTGATTTTGACTTATTTCGTACTTTAGATGTTTTTCTATGGCAGCATCCAATAACTCTACGCCAAGAATTCAAAGTAATCAAAGTCATTTAAAATTTTTCATATTTGTTCGTAAAATTAGTCAGCCAAGATTACTAAGAAATTACTGAAAAGGACGTTTAATGAACTTGACCGTAGAGTGACGTGGTATGAATACAGACTCATTTGTGTAGAAATTATTAACTGGAAAGTAGTAGTTTTTCAAACTGTATAAAATTAATTTCAGTCAGCATTAAAAAGTAAGTAAAATCTTACGAAATCAGATAATCGCATACTACAAAACACCTTCAGTATACTGATGAACACACTTAACTACAAAAAAACATCCATATTGTTTAAACCACTTAACCATGATAAAGTATATACTTAGAGAATGTAGAGCTTGAAAAGTTTTTCCAGGTCATCAGCTTTTTAAGTATTTATCCATATGCATTTGCATAAATTATTTGAGTGAACACAGATAAGTGTAGTACTTAGTTATTAGTGCTAAATGTGTTACCTAAGAATAAATAAATCCAAGTACTCAACTGTTCATTATTTATCATATTCACCTTTAACTGGTGAATAATTTTAATCACTAATATTATAAAGAAACTGTTATTTACTAGAAATCAATACAGAAACTTTCTTCATCGCTTAAAACTAACGTTTGAATGAACTTTAATTTTAAATTCATTCTTTACTCTACAAATCATAAGTCATATATCCGATGATTGTAACCGACAACTTGTGTGTCAACAAATACATAATTCAGAAAATAGTTTTTAGGTCTCATGTCATGATGAATAACTTGGAATTCCCACATGTAATTCCTTGGATTATATGGCTACAAATTATAATTATGAAACATACTAGATTTTTATTCCTGATACTGTAGCTCACTTGTAGGTTTTTTAGCCAAAAGCTTACGTTAATATTTAATACTTGAGTTAAATAATGTATACAGCCGTCTTTAGTTTTCTGAAATAACTGGTATTATTCTTTGGAGTTATTAAAACCTTTGGCAATAAAGATTTTTTTCATCACGTACACATCACCTGCGAAACCTACAGATCTTCTTTTACACATTAACTTACCGAACAATTATTTAAATTTATTCTTAGATCAAACTACTAGAGTTGCTTATGTGGTTATTATTTGAGTAGTTATCATAGTAGGTTTAGAAAATAGAAAGTATTCAAACGATTTCTAAAGGTTATGTCTGATTTTCAGACACTTAATTAAACACATATTTTGTAAACTTTGCATTCATTAATGAACGAGATTGAATACTGAAATACACTAACTACAAATTATCTGAACTCAATAGCATCTAATGATTCGTTATTTTCATTGACTGATTATAAGGTCGTGTGTATGATTCTCAGTCGGAGTGTCGCAACATTAAACTGAACAGATTTTCTGTTCATTCTTGTTTTTAACGATGTGATATAACTTGCCTTTGAATTTCTAATTATATACGTATATATGCATCGAAAAGGATATACATTATTCAGATATCGATTCGCGAAATGCTAACATCTAACTGACGAACACTCAATATTTATCGCAAGGATTGGTCAAGAGATAAGAAAAGGAAACATGTTAAAATACTTTGTGCTGAGAATTCTATATTGTACCAAAAATATATTGAATAAAACCAATAATAATAATCACAGATGAAAAATAGTAGAGCATTCTAAGTCATAAAGTATCTACATAATAAATATAGTTTAAAAGAAATTTATTGTTCAGTAAACTTGTCGTTTTCTAAGGCTTTTCCTGTCTAGAATTTCTTGATTTTAGTTTTGACCTGCAGCTTCAAAATCTTCTAATTCTTGACTACGTGTCAACCGTCTTAGAAACTGACTTGTAGTGTTTCCTGTAAATAACCTTCAATCAATTAATATTAAATAAAGTCCATTACGATTGCTTGTCTCTTAGTACAGCTTTCATACTGTGATTCGGTTGTGAACTAATAACTTGACAGTAGAACATTGGTTACTATGTAGTACTTCAAAAAATAATCTCACATAGAAAATCACTCCTCACAAAATTGCAGATAGGCCTTACAAACTAGGACCTTCTTAGATTCAGGGTTTCCTACCATTTATCTCTAACTCCCTATTGTCTAAAAACTACTTCATTACATTATACTGTGAATGCATCATTTTAATCAAAACAGTGTTAGACCTTTACCTTTATTACTAAGAAATAATAACATGCTGATTATAATTCAGACTTATGGGTATTGATTATTATTCGTCCATCAAGATTTCAAACAACTATTACTGTTACTACGTAGGACAGAAATCGATAGTCACAGCTCAGTCAAATAATTAAAGGTAAAATACGGTAACAAATACCTTAAATTGAAGTTTGTAACCGTTCAAATGGTGAAATTAAACATTTAACAGCGATAAAATGGTTGGTTATGAAAAATCAACAGTGAGCATAGATTGCCAACCCGACAGACCATAAATGTTGCGAAATCTGAAATATATTCACAGTGAATAACCAACTATTAAATTCGAAAATTCAATAAATAATACAAGATCACGAATATTGGTGAAAATCAGTTAACACGTATTACATTGGACCTTAAGTTTCAACAAGTCATTCTGATTCAAAGTATTCGAACACACAAAAGTATTCTCTTCATATATGAGAATCATTGATAAATTCCCAATGCTTGTATAAAATCATTCATTTAATGTTACGAAACTTATTGCTCGTACTTCGTTGAAAAACTACCGAAATCAACCAAGACCCGTAACTAGTCTATTGTTATCAGTAATTATTGTAAGGTCAAGAAATTAAAGCAAACTGGCAAACAGCATATGAAAAACATTTGAATAAATTTCTTGATGAAGAAGCTTTTATTTTCCATAGATTATGATTGACAATAAGTAATTATTTATGCATCATATAATCCTCTACTTTTAGAGATCTAAAACTCTATTAAATAATAGTGAATATTCCAGTTTGTTAAAGAGTTTCTTAAATGTTCTGCTCATTTGATAAATGAAACAAACTATATGTCAATCACTTTGAAATATATCCCACTATTCGATTATCAAAAGTGATTTTATGAAGTTGTTACACTGTTTCTATGATTAATTTAGTCAAGATAAAAACTGTTAAAAAAGAAACACTCATTTTTTCAAATCAAAACTTGATATATATGAGCTTTTCCTTTAGTTAATTGATTAGTCATTGACTTTAAGTAAATACCGATGATAAATACACAAAACATATCAAATATAAATGTAACCGACGGTGATATCATAGCAATACACTAATTAAAATATTTACTGGTTGTAATTGGATTTTTATAATCATGTGCGTCATAAGGCGCTGATTCAGATAGATTGTAACCAAATATCAATATGTACATTTTAAAGGGTATGCTCTTTGTTCAAATGCTGTGCTTAGACTTTTAATTTCACTAGTTTATTAACCAGCAAATTCAAATATGTTACTAATTACATTTTCCTTAATCTGATGTTAGAGTAACATAAGGACTTCAGTTATTTTTATTTGACGATTTAAATGTAAGGATAGTTAGTTACTTAAATCTTAAATATCTTAAACAGCCTATGTACATAGTACGTAAAATACATGAATAATTGCATTTTATAAGAAAGTATTAAGGAAATACTTTGTCCTTGAAAAAACAATATTCATTGGCTGTTCTGCTCTTGTTTTAATTAGTTTCACTTTTGTGAAAATTCATCTCTTTTTTAGTAATAATAATAATAAAGAGAAATTCCTCTTTAACTCCTGCTATCTACGTGTACCATAGTTGTATCAATGCGACAGTTACGTTTTAAAGCTTCTATTGAACAGCATTTTTTATTTTCATAAATTTTAATTTCTTATTTAATTCCCCTAGCTGTTAAGTGATTAGTCGGCAAACTGAACTGAATGTATTTTGATTAGATTGAACATAGAGATGAGAAATTCATTTTCCTCACGCAAAAGTAACATATATATTTAATTGTTTTCTTAAGTGACGAGGCGCATCTACTTGATTTCATTCAAATTTTTAAAAAAATAGAAGACGAAATAAAGAATCAGGAATTTTCAAAGACTATCACTTATAATTTTGTTGTGATCCATTGACTAAAATAAGCAATATGGTTAAAACATCCACTAGCAGTTTACTTCATTTCACTCACCAAACAATTATCTATTGATATCAGAAGGGGTTTTTGTGGATATTGAAGGTAGACCACCATGGAAAACCTAGAAGCACTGGACGGCCGTTTTGTCCTATTGTGTGTCTGTTGTGAGATAGTAACTCACTGATGACAATGATGGATGTGTCGCTCAATCTCGTGGATTGGTTGAAGTTAGACATTAGCACCGTTGGATGCTGGCTCAGTGGCCTAATGGTTAAGCGCTCGCACGCGAGACTAATAGGTCTTGCGTTCGAATCTCGAGAGGCGGGATCGTAGTTGGGCACTGCTGAGGAGTCCTACAGTAGGACTAAACGGTCGTCCAGTTCTTCCAGGTTTTTCATGGTTGTCTAGCTTCAATTGAATTATGGTCTCAACTATTGAAGTTATCTATTAATTAAGATATTGAGATTTAATGAAAATTTTATTAGATAGTCTTATTTGAAATGTAAATAATTATTACTGTATAGATATCAAAACAAATCTGAAAATAGATTTTCACCCTTTTCTAGTTCTAATTTGGTCTAGTCTTTCAGAAGGAGAAAAAGATATAAGAAGGTTGAACAAATCCAGATTTTAAAAATGCTATAAAATAGCACAGTAAATTACATTAGACTTATTTATGTGCACAACCTACCAGTTTAAATGCTGAAAAGTATATTAAAATTAAAAGTACATAATAAGTTTCAATATTGAGTGCTATTAAAATATCAACTTGGCAAATTCCTATGTATTCAACAGATTTTATCAACAATGCTGAATATTCACTAAAGTCATCAACACAGAGGTTTAATGCTGTTCGAGACTTCTGAAAAAAAACATTCAATTTATATAATTCATTACATCTTTTGTCTTTCAGATCATCCTCACTGTTCAGCTGTGAGACAGTATCTGCATATATTCTGCTTTAATTATTATAATTAGTAGTAACATTAATGTATAAAACTTGATATTTATTCTGTTATACAGTTAATCGAAAATATGTTTTGTTATGTTGCATAAAGAATAATTTACATGTAGCGTTGGTGTTAGAAACTTAAAACAAAGGTCCCATTAATCATTTGTCAGGTAATTAAAGATAAATTCACTATCAATATTTTCAAACTGTTAATTAAAGTTAGCAAGTTTCTTCTTTTAATGCTTTACCTAAGATGCTTATCTAAACAGACATTACCATTTATATCGTGAAGTATTATAATGTTACTTAAGTGAAAAGAATCTTTATGAGATGAGAACACATTAAGTGGCATTTCCACGGACACTTATTTCATTTACAAACAGATTTCATATACTCCACTTTTTATTTTCAAAGAAAACTAACAAAATATTCAATGAAGACTTGATGTGTGGGCGAGAATAATAGTGATTGGTTTTCTGCTTAGTCAGACAGGTAGATAATCTGACAGATGTCAAATGAGTAATATATTCTCCTATCATTATTGTTATTATTACTCACTTATTATTGATCGTTCATTATTGTTGGATTGTGTCAGGCTTTTGGTGTGGAAATACATTACGTTGTGGTCAGGCTAATCACGTATTCTTAATCTGAGTTGTGCTGACGTCCTGTAGAATAGACACTGGGTGGGGTGAGGATCTAGTGTAGATATTCGTCTAAGGTAAATTAACGTCCCATACGTGTACACGTGAAAACCCAACCGTTATAACATTAGACGAAGTAAAACCGAGCGTTATAACAAGACTAAAATAGAGTATTAAAGATAATTTGTAATTATTATGTCATGTTATTAAACTCCCTACAAGATTACTATTAGCATTTTTAAACAAGTTTTTTTTAAAAAAAAAGGGAAATTCATTATAACAGAGCAAATAAAAAAAGAGAACGGAATTCCTGAGAAGATAATGAGAGTTCAGATGAAATCATATAAAGTCTATCACATCATCATTTGCCTTCAGATTCTCTTGCAATCGAACTTTATTTTCCATATCATTGGTCTTTTGTTTTATCTAAAAATACATATGAATATGTGTTGTAAATAAGCAATTATAAATTTACAAATAAGTTACTAGTCTGAAAATGTTTATGTCAAGCACAATCTATGGTGAATCAATTTCAATGGACTTAACTGGCAAATATATTCATATGTTGAGACTACAAACCATGGAGTGCACTTTGAACATTTTGGGCTTACAGTGGACTTACAAAATTAAAATTCGATCTGAAGCGTAATCCTTTTTCATCCTTTCTTATCCACACTCATCATAACTTTAGGATATTCAATTAACAATTTAGTGAAAATAACATTCATCAGTAGGACTGTACAATACCGTTCCTACAACTTCAAATGGCATGTTTATATGCAAACTAAATCTGATAAAATGTCCTAGATGATTGAAAGAAAATTAATTTGTAGGTCACTTTCCCTGAAACCAATTAAGAACTGATCGTTAGGCTTAATTATTTCGTATCTTAAACTAGTTCTTAAGGATATGAAATGATGGTCCGACAAGTATGTTCTATGGTGAAAACAATCGGTCTTTAGAAAAAAAACATGGAATGGCCAGCTAATAAACTTCTATAGCTGGGTCCCTTTAAGTAGAAAGAGAAACCTCATCCATTCTTTATGTTATCGAATACACCGGATATGCAGTACGAAATGCATTAACGAAGACTTCGCATTCCTCAAGAAAACCTTGACGGAAAATGGTTATCCAGAACGGGTCATAGAAAAGAATATGAATAGAAGTAGTTACGACAAGAAATTTAGTTGTTCAGTCCCGAAGAAAAACCTTTGTATAAGTCTGAAATTTAAAGGTGATCAAACATCAGACGTAATCAAAAATCGTCTAACAACAACGATTAGAAGAACATTTAATGCTGCTAAACTACGAATAACCTTCACTAGTAGGAACTTATTTTCTGTATCCATAAAAGATAAGCTTCCGCGTCTGGTCGCCTCTATGTGCATCTACCAGTTCACCCGCTCTTGTGGAGCAAGGTACATTGGCCGTAGCCAGGGTTTTAATCATCTATTGTTATTATTCGTATTACGTAATCTAGTATTATTACATCATGGTTAACTGTGTTCACATTTCCTCACGGAATTTTCATATATATATATATATATATATATATATATATATATATATATATATATATATATATATATATATATATATATATATATATATATATATATACGATTGTACAGCTTGATAATAAATTCGTTGAAAAGTGATCCCTTCGCTGAACTTCGTGTTTTAATTTTAATGTTTAAATGGGAATTATCTGTCAATCTTTATTTGTCTGATGCTTGCGAGTCTTAATAAGAAGACAAATATCCAGTAATAACGTTAAATTCACCGATAATCTTCCAGGAGTCTGATGTACATCTTTGCAACTGAATTTATTCCATTTAGATTATTTGACTTTACAAACCTAGTATATCTCTATAGCTGTAAAAATGTAATATGTGATTATGCTTAAATTAGGATTTTTCGTTAATCGATATTAACTGCGAAGTTATTAAAGAGCAAAATCCCATATTTGTGTCATACAATTCATGTAAGATCAAACTCAAAACTCATTGGTTAAACGTTAACGTGAAATGATTGTGTCATTTTTGTTATCATTCCACAAAAGTGTATTTCTTTTTTTTCAGATGCTTTATCATAATTTATAGCCCGGAGTCTGTAGCAGTTTATGTTTTAGAACACCAAGCATAACGTTTTCTACATATTTGTACACTATGTATTTGAACTCTTAACTAACCATAGAAATATAACAAGATTTACGATTTTTAATACGAATTTGGCTAGTCGTTACTTACAAGAAGTTAGTTACCAAGGTTGCTTTGACCGTTGAGACTATTTCGTTCTTGGATGTGTTTCATTTCATACTGGTTCTCTTCGTTTCTGTGATTAAAAGCATTCTCATCATCTTCATAATGAAGGTTTTTCGTAGGTAAAATGTTCTTTACTTGTTTTACAATATTCTTTTCTGCGATTTTCATTTTAACAACCACTCCACCATTTTCCAACTTTTCATCATTTGTGTTCTCATCCCTTATTTTTCTTGCATAAAAGAAAGGATAATAGACCAAAGGAAAAATGACATCCAGAAAGACATCTTATTTAATCCAAATAGGTTGTTTTTATCACTCAGTGAATAAAAGAGGTCAACTTAAGATGGTGAAACCTATTTTAGTAAAACTCCTCACTCACTTACTGCTTGACTTACTAACACGTTAGACCAAAACCGCGAAAAACCAGTTGGAGCCTCCAGCTGAAGAAAACCTAACTAAACGAAAATGGCGTATAAAAGAATAAGAACGTTTGTCTAAAATTTAGGAAATTAGCTCATGAATATTTGAAGCTCCATCGACTGATGAATGGTAAACAAAGTATCCATGTGTTGCAATAATGAACACTTCTAACCAAAAATCATAAAAGTTCTTTGTGTTTATTATAACCACCCTTACTTCTTCATAAATGTTGCAGTTAACGATGTACAATATAGTTTATAAAAAACTCAAAAAGCTGGAAAAAATTTGGCGATATCACTGCATTTAATAGAGCCTGCACATACAACTAACTCACATGACCTAAGAATTCTACAAAAAGGTTTTGTTTTGTACAAAGAGAGATTGACAGCTAAAACTCTATACATATTGGTAAACTCAAAAGATATACAATTAGCAGTGTCATGGCAACTTGTAATTAATAGGTAAATCTGAATTTCATGTGAATCCTTTTATTTCATTTCACATTAGGCAGACAACAAAGATATGCCTTCACTTGTTCTCATCAATTTATATGTATGAATATACGATGAACAACTATCTTCTTTAACATAACCCCAACTCACATTGGTTTGATTATTTATCCTCATTCTATACACGCTGTTACATGATTGGTGATAACATCTATCAAATTGTGTAGTTTCATCATAAATCCTAACCAGACGTGGCCTGTGGTTAATGAGTATCCTCATATCAAATCTATATACACTTGTTATATTACCTCAATTTCTGCACTTTTTTACACGAAATTACTCATGCTCACTAAAACAAATCTCGCAATCAGTATTGTTAACATGATTGGAAGATTTGTTCAGTATACAGTTAACCTGTGAACGAATAACTTATATTTTTGATTATTTTTAATGGTTGATTAATTTCTCTCGAAAAGCTTAAACGAAAATGCCTAGCAAACTGTTAGATTTATTTCAAGTTCGGTCGTCGACATTTTTACGGATATAATTTTCTCTTTAACGTACATAATACGTTTCCATCAAACTAGTGGATGTTTTTCCAAAACATACTATAATACTAACTGTATTCTTCAAATAAGAATGCTGAATTATACGTTTGGACAAAAGAGAATATCAAAAACTAGAAAACTCAAATGAATTCAGTTTCATGCTCAAAGTTATTATTGTTTTTCATCTACACTTAGTATTACTCCGGTTCAGTTAACGATTATTTTGAATGTCATAATGGTGGATATGTACATGGTTCACTGAAATATAACATATTTTCTTTTCAGTGCTACATACTTACCATATACCACGTTATAACAACATATACACAATAATTCGCACACTAATATATGTAGTATCTTACAAAACAGTGCGTGAACTCTAAGATAGTTATGACTAATAATTCAATAGATCGTTAGAAGGCTCTAGTTATGTAAATGAAGATTTAATTTACTCAGTGGCATTAATCATTTATTTTGATATAACAGAGATATTTGATCAAGCACTTACATAACTTGGCTACTGAAAATAATTAAAAAGTAGCTTCAAACTCTCTTAATTTAAAATCAAGGAGTTATGTATAAGCTTCTCTAATAGATTAAGGAAAAATGTAAACTTCAAACATTGTAAAACATTTCAAAAACCGAAAATAATCATACATTTCTGTTTGACACTGATTTTCCCGCACGGTTTTTCTTTGATATTTTTGAATTTCAGCTTCCTGTTCTATCATTTTCTTTCTGATTAGATTTTAGAAAAATAATAGCATAATTCTTATTATGCTCCTTGTCAAAAATCTACTAATTAAAAAGCTGCTTACAGTTAAAGAGTAGACAAGGTTACTTTCTGTCTATAAAGTTTACTAAAAATCATACATTTAATGTATCTGTAATCTGTTTAATATTTGTTAACACATTGTTATATCGTAGCTTAATTTACTACATCTGATACATCAAATTTTTGTTTCAGTTTACTTATTTAGTTCATGTAGTTTTAAGCCATCAGTCTATAAAGTCTATAACCAACGGTTTTTTAAGCGGCACATATCCTCAACTTGGCACACCGTAAAAACTGTGTTGTTATATGATAATTTAAACGAATCTATTGCATACACCATGAACAATATCTGTTATGCAGGGTATAAACATAGAACACGACAACTTACAAAAAGATTTATTTGATTAAATCGGAAGTTATTGATTGATAAGCTGAGGGTTTAGTATAGAAGTATTTTGATGTTATGAAAAACGGTAGAATTTTATTTACATCATCAAATAGAATGTTCCGATTGTAATTTTTATTTTCTTGTAATTAGTAAACTATTTTATTTACAATAATTAACAGAAGATTATTTTCATTTACTAAACATAAATAGTAAAATTAAGCAACTATTGAAAATCACGTTCCTTTGTATTCTCAATCTCTTCAGCAGTGAGCCGTAATGACCCATTATATAAAGTTTCAACCTTTTACCATGAGTAGCTTTTGATAGCTGTTTCACAGAATAGAATTATTGCAGTTCTTGCATATCAATGATTATAATGCAATAATCATTTGGGATAAACAATATAATATTGATTACTATTCAGTGACCGATCGTCGTAAATGTCTCGATCCTATAGTCAGTCATTTGAAGACCGAATAAATCAGAAATAATGTTACCTTAAAATCTTAGTTCAAACCTCAAGCGATGTGTCAGTGCCATAATGATAAATCCTAACTAGCACTAAATTTAAATCAGTGGCTTTTCATTAATTTCCTTAAACTACCTAACATCAGTTCTTATATACACAAAATATAAAATAGTGGACAACTCACTCCATTATTTCATAATCTTTCTTCATCTTTTCACACGATTCTGATAATGTTTTGTTTAAATGTTGTAAATTAGCAATTTGTGCCTTAGCCGACGCTAATTCACTTACCATGGTCTCATCTCTTTGAACAATCGTTGATACTTTTGGAGCTTGATTAGTAACATTGTGGGATACTAAAAAAAAGAAAATTGGACAGTTTAAAATAGCCTAAAATACATTTGTTCGCTTTATTACAATTTTTCACCATACGTAAAGCTGTGACTTTCAAATTAATCAACTATAAGCTTGTAGATTAAGTTTAATAATAATAGACTTCAGATATCAGTCAGAAATAGAGAATTTTCTTCACGACAACCATCAACAGTATTAATACTCAGTACAATTTTATAAAAAAAATGGTAATGACTGCTTCGTACTGGAGAAGTTACGTGAATCAAACTACTTAGAACAAGAAGGTCTCACTTGTTTATTTTGAAATGATCTCTGATTTCAGTTTCATTCTCTGTCTACATATACTAAATTATATTGTCCTTTACAACAGATCATAAATTGAAAGAAATTATTGAGGATTGAAAAATGTCTAATCCTGCCTTTGTGCTTGTATTCAAATGAAATTTTCACTGAAACACGGAAATACATACGATGAATCCTAATATCTCCTACCTGAACCTTTCATTTATTTATGTTTTATTTATCCTGAAATGTATAGCTAGGAAGGAAAGTAGTTAACTAGTAGAAGTGAAGCCTGTGTGTTAGTAAAATGATTGCAATCGTTTGTGATCAGTCCTATCATATGTCGACCTGTTAAACAACGAACATTATTTATTTAACAGACATAATTTGACTATCGCTCTTCTAAACTATGTTGGACAAATGTCATTTAAATGATCCCAGTTTATTCTCTAAGTGTCCGATAGATGGAAATCAATAAAAATGAAGCTTTTAACAAATAAACTATCTACAAATCTTTAGGCAATAATGAAATTCTAAAACGTTTTTCCTATTACGTCAGTATAGTAGATAAAAATATTTTGTTTTTACCCGTAATGTCTATCCGATATAAAAATTACTGCTCATTCCAAACTTATGATTTATCAACGAAAACTTCCAGACTTGTTAAATCTCATTCACAATTAGTGGATGCACTTTGTTAAATGTAAGCAGTCAAGTACACATATTTCAAGACTATGAGAACATCTGTAAAATTTCGATTTCAAAAATTAGTGCATTTTATAACTACACTTCGTTAGATTCTCGAAAGGTACTCTAATTAATGCATGCCATTTAACCACAAAATAATGCAACTTGACACTATACTAACTAAGAAGCTATCATTCACAATCGCTCCAAAATCTTAAACAATTTCCGGATCCTCATATAGAATGATTCTCAAACTTTATTTTATAAACAGGTGTTAAGGAAACTCCTAAAGCAAACAATTAAACTATTACAAAGAAAACTGAGAAGATTCAAGGAAAATAAGCTTACCAGTACTTCCAACAATCGTGGCCACCAAAAGATCCTCTGAGGATGTTTTAAACTTTCCAATCTTTCAATAAAAAATTAAGGTTTAAAGAATTAGTAAAAGCCTGACACACCTGCACATTACACTCATTATCCTGACAAGCACGATATGGAGCTAAAACGAGGAATTTAAAAAAAATCAAATATTACGGATCATATCTTTCAATAAATTCATCTGATTATTAAGTGGACTGCACAAAATTGAGATCCATTGATAAATCATTTGTCTGATTTCAACAAATTATGTTCAACGCTTAAACTAAGCACATCATGATGTCGTATCCTTAAACTTAATGATCATATAGGATTCCTTGACTGGTGTGTCCTGATCAACATTCAAGACTTAGATATGACTTCCATAGCTATTTTGTGGAGATTTTGAATAGATATATGGAAAGAATTCTGAACTGTCTTTTCATTCGAAAAACAGAATTTGATATGTATCGCGGATAAATCGAACGAGACTCCTTGTTATATGTTCAAAGGATTTTGATTTTAGTGAAACTAATATCTAGTTGAATCAATTGTATAATTTAAAGCGATTGGGCCCTTTGATAAATTTCTATAGTGCAATAATAAGAAGACGAAGATTATAATAACCACGTAATATATTAGCGCAATATATTTCGGACAATCTGGTCACGCATATATTTGTTAAGAACATTTATGTATATATAAAAATAAAAGGTCAACTAGACTAGAAATGGAAGGTGAGAGGAGACAAGGATAAAAAATTTCAATAGTTGAAATCATGAATCAATTGAAGCTAGACCACCATGGAAAACCTGGAAGCACTGGACGGCCGTTTCGTCCCAGTACGGGACTCCTCAGCAGTGCGCACCCACGATCCCGCCCCCCGCGGGATTCGAACCCAGGACCTATCAGCCTCGCGCCAGGCGCTTAACCAACTAGACCACTGAGCCGGCATCCAGTGCTTCCAGGTTGTCTATGGTGGTCTAGCTTCAATTGATTCATGATTTCAACTATTGAAATTACCGATTCTCCACAAAAACCGCTTCTAGTAAGGATAAAAAAGAAAATAATGTGAAGACAACTTGAAACCTCATCACTCTGGATAATAAGTCAATATTACCAGGATAAGTTTAAGGTGAGAGCAAACTGTTTTTGAATACATGGAGGGGGTTTGAATTTTCTTATGCGTAAGGTTTCAATAAACTTTTTACAGTTTTAAACAACACCACAAAAGCTGAGTTAAGATCAATCTTATGACCTGCTTCAATTATATGTTTTTAGTCTAGTTAACCTTTTATTCTTATATATAAATGTTCTTAACAAGTATATGCGTGATCAGATTGTTCGAAATGTATTGCGCTAATATATCACATAGTTATGATAATCTTCGTCTTCTTATTACATTATAGTTGTAACAGGTTATGTAGATTATTCTTGTTTTTAAGAAATTCATTTTACAAATTTACATTTAATCTCTATTTATTAGTAATAATTTTAGTAAAGGTTGAATTTTCATAGGTTTCACCCTTTACTGATCCTAATTAGACAACAAGTGAAAACCAAGAACCACTGAACAACTGGCCAGTGGAGATTAATCATGTTAGATGTCAGACAGTTGTTCACCGTTGACAATGAAAGATGGCTGCTCAATATCTCAAACTGATTGAGGTCAGGCATGTAAATCATGGTATAATTGTCCAATTATTTAGAGGTTAGGCGCACACATGATAGACTGAAGGTACTGGATTGAAGGCGGGGCCACAGATGAGTCATTGAAAAGACTTACTGATATCCTCTTTTACATCATTCGATGACAAATGCCTGTAAAGCTTTTGAATTTTGTTTACTAAACAATGATTCTTTGCTATCAACTCCTGTTTCTGCTGATCTAACTCTTTAATCACTCTGCCCAATGTTTTAATTTGAAAATTAGATTGATTGTTTTCACTGGAAAAACTTCTCTTTGGTTTAATAGTCGATTGTCTTTTTTCCTCTGAACACTGATAGGATAATATATGATTTTGTTCTTTTAGTCGCCTAATTTCTGCAAATGCAGTCTCCAACTGTACTCGCAACTCTTCAATCCGAGTAAATTTCATGTCTGTAATCAAACGGCTTTAAAAAATTAAAATGAGGATTATAGTATGAATCATAACTAAGTCCATAAATGTTAGTAAAAGGAATTCTAATTGACAACTTAGCAGTTAATCCTAACCAACCATTTTAGAACTCTGATCATAACGTAATTACAGTTAACAGATAAGCTTAACAAGATATGATCTCATATCTTACTGAAATTATTCATCATCTTACGTCCAATGACTAAGTCTCTTGATGGCTTATCGTTTCAAGAAGGTTACCATAACTAATAAGCATCCCATTTTATGTTAAATGTCTTAGTTGTTGTTCTTATTGTTCAAGTCACTGTGTAGTTCTAGCTTGCGGGTTACTAGAAGAGCTTAGGAACCGAATATAGCGTTCAATTAGAAAGACTTATTACTTATAACAAGCGCTTTATAAAAATAAGTTGCGTAAACTTACAAATTAATCCAACTTATAACTTACTAGCAATTAATATCTTGAAGTAGCTACTAATAAAAACAATACTTGTCATATCTTGCGTGAATATTGTGATGCAAGTACACCCAAACGACAAGCATCAAATAACACAAAACTTATGCTCTGGTTCTATTACCAACTACTAATACAGATATCATTACTCTTTCATAGAATGGAAATATTCAGGCCTTTTATGTGCACATCACTTAGTAGCTTTTGTAGAAATATTTCACTAAAACAAGATCAGTCATACAAATTGATTTTATAATGTTCCCCAGTTCCAGTTGATATGTCAATTATTTTGAGCTGGAATATTATGTCAACTTCCTGGACTAAAATACGTTTTTAGTTATCAATCATTATCTCTTTTGTTTACAAGTTTTAGAATCTGAATATTGTCAGTAAATATGACTGTTAAAGGCTGTTATAAATTCCACGTTTCTAAAATTAAACGTCTTTTTTCAATATACTACTTATTTTACTCTGAGAGTAATATTTATTAATTTAGCGAATATGGAATATATTAGCCAAAGATACACAGAAGCCGAAGTTACATCGGACCCTTTATTCATTATACTGTCATAAACATCGGTAGATCAAATCATCAAGTTTGAAAGCATCAACCACTGGACATTTAAAGGGTAAATCGCCCCACAAAATGACCAGTAGGGAATACTGGAGCTTTCTGTCGTTGTGAAATTTTAAACCAGGAAAAAACAAGTATCCTATTTTGCTTATTTTTCATCATTCTTGAAAGGAGTTAGTTGTGGCCATTTTCGAGCGCATCACGTTTCTACATCTGAATGAATTGAACAGACATTAACTATATTTCGAAGTATAACTCCTCCCTTTCATGGTTTTGACATCCACATGAGTCAGAAAATTACAAGCATTCAGAATTAAATAAAATTTAATTCATGTTTGCATTGTATCATCTTACTTGTACTGAGAATCTTTATCTTGAAGTTGGGTCTGCAGTTTGAAAAACTTCTGATGAAGTAAACGAATATTTTTAAGTGATTTCTGTTTGTAGCAGCCTGCATTCTGGTTTATTTTTGAGCTCTAATGACATCAAAATTTTAAGATATAACATTTCCTCACTTTAACAGGATTGACCAGCATTGTAAGTTCATTCTCTGTTTTAACCAAATTGTCTTTTAAAGTACGGCATTGTGCGTTTAGATCTTTATTTTGTCTACTAAGTAAGGCTACTTTCTGTAATGAAAAATAAAGTTTTCTCCTAAGATGTTATTAAATCGACACCCAATTCAAAAAAATATTACTAGATGTTTGAGTGTGATTCTGTTTAATCAACGATAATAAAAAATAAATGGTAGACCACTATAAACTAATGATGATTGTAAGATTCCAAGTTCAGTAATTTATTTAAATGATTTTCTTTCAGTAATCAGAATAGAATACAAAGCAGTTCGAAAATTTAAGTAAACAAGAAAATTTATGGTTCGTTAGATGATATATAAATTTTAACAGTTGAACTCATGCGTCAATAAAAGCTAGACCACCATGGAAAACCTCTCGCTCAAATGCTTGACCTCTAGACCACTGAGCCGGCATCCAGCAGTGTTAACGTCAAACTTCCATCGATCCATGAATGGTTGCGCAACTATTCATCCATTGTCTGAGGTAGAGACCTGTCTCTACCCGACACAGATTGAACCCAACTGGTCACAGCTTCCCACTAGGACTCCGGGAAATCATCTTGAAGCCAGTCACTAGTGAGCACATGATGCTTATGATCAGAATGGGGTTATGGAAATTGTAGCCAGTTTAATAGTTGAATTCATGAGTCGATGAAGGCTAGGACCCGCATGTGGGATCAGGAACGTGGACTGCTCAAGAGTTCCATACTAGAACAAAACAGCCATCCAGTGCTTCCAGGTTTTAAATGATGGTCTAGCTTACATTGACTCATGAATTCAACTATTAAATATCACTAAAATCTCCACAAACTCCATTCTGATTTATAAATTAGCTTATGGTAATCAAGTAAAATACACTCTTTTACTGAAAAGAATCTCTTTTCGTGACTTTAGGCAGAGAAACACCAACAAGAGTGAAAAAGATTAAAGTTTTCTTTGTAGGATTTGAGCATATTTGTGGCCTTATAAAAACATGTGATTTTACTGCACGCTTAAAATATAGCAAATGAAGAGCAAATATGGCTGTAATATCGAAAGTAGATAATAAAAAATATAGAATTAGGCGCAACAAAAATATCTAACTTTACTCATAAAATATCTTTAGGCCATAAACGAATCGTATGATAGTTTTGTTGCTTATTATACCCGTCTCTTAGTTTCTTTGTATGATTGCCGATTTCAATGTCGTGAGGGTGGTTTTAATTTAATTTACTTCTGGTGATATTCTGTAATAATATTATTTTACATCGCTATTATGATACCAAACCGATATCTCATAGCGGTTTACCTATCCATATACCATTCCCACTCAACTTTTAGTGATTTTTCACCTTACAATGATTTTCAATTCTGAAGACAATTACGACTATTTTTTGACTAGTTGATGAACATACGTTTTGGCAAAAATTCACATTCATCCATCAACCAACAGCAAAATCTTTGCTATTTAACTTTCCAGATAACTAAATAGCATACATTAGCGAGACTATAATTTATGGACGAACCAATCAAGTATAAGATAACAGGTTTTAGGTTTTGGCGCAAAGTTCATGCATCCAGTTGGCAAAATAGAGTTTCGACATTATAGCTGATGCCAGTTCGCGATGAAAACCCCGAATCTAATTCCTAACCTTAACCATCAAATGCAAGTTATAATTATATTTTCTCAAGTCGGTTTATAACTCTTGTTTGATTCTGGTTATTAGGCTGACACTCTCAAGGTCACTTCAGCGTCGCCTGAAGGTCGTCCATGGATTATAGTCAGTTCTGTTGAGGTTCGCGCGACAACTGATATCGGAGATTGAAGGCATTGGATGATATGACTCAAAATCGCTCACTAACGTGGATACTCTCACTGTTTATTGTCTCCCACCAGACTTCGAGTTCCTTTATTCCTTCGCAAATCTCTTTCCGGTTTATCTTTCCCAACTATATTCTCAATGTTCGGTTTTCCTCGAAATCATAACTGCTAAACTATTTCAGTTAATCCACCATTCAACCTTTTAAATAGCTGTAGTTGCTTAAATACTGTAATGACAAGACGAAAGTCATTCAAACTATGCAATATATTAGTCCAATACCTATCAAATAACTTGATTATACATATACTTCTTAAAAACATCTGTATCTAAAAATAAGAGATCAACTAGACGACTGGAATGTAAGTGTAAACAAGAATATTAAAGAAAAAATGTGAGTATATCGTAGTGAATAATGATTGCCTGATAATAGGGAACGTTTAAGGTGACAAGAAACTGTTTATGAATACATGTAGGAAGTTCGAATTTTTGTATGCCCCTAGTGTACACAATAAACAACTTTTGTACAAATTAAGAGGCTGATTTAAGACCAGTATTAACAACTGTTCGATGTACTTTTCAATTAAGAAAAGTGATATTTATCATCTTATCTCAAAAAATCGTTTGATTTCACTTGCTTCTGCAGCTACTCTGATACATTTTTAGACAACCTATCTGATCTTACAAATATGTAATGACAACTTGAATCGACATAAAGATATTCTAGGCCCTAGTTTCACCGTAACTGACTTATCTGTAATTTTTAATTTTACATTTTACCAATAGTGAGACTACCTTACCTTCCAAATAATATTTGACGTTTATCTTCTACTTACCTTACTTTACAAACATTTATTTCCTTCATTGAAAACGCTATTAGCTTAAAGTAATATGAAATTTTTATAGAGAACTTAGCCAGTATTAATATCTTCCTTAAAATAGCTAGCTTATTTATAAATTTTAACACTAATGTTCTCCAGTCGACCGATGTTCGCTAACGATTTAAAAGATAAACTCTCTCGTTTAACTCATCCCATGTTCATATATTAATTTAAATGTTTATGCAGAGCAAGGTATACAATTTTTGTGGTGAATATTTTATCAAAAAAAGTAAAGAACATTACTCCGCCGGACTAAAGAGAGACAAAAGTGACTCAACAACAAGTGCTATAGTCAAACATCTTGAATCACACGTCATTCGATTAAAAATGACTCCAAGTTCAAAGTCATAAACAAATTGAGTTGAAAGATGTCAAAAGCAGTTAGCCTCTGTCTTTTGAACACTGCCGAAGCATTTTTATACATTTAGAACAACCAGAATAATGTGCACAAAATAAGCCTTTATAACCTCCACATTGACTGCTGTCCTAATCTCTCGTAGGTTTTTTCCTTCATTTTGAGCTACTTGTTTCTCATTTATCTTCTTCTTTATGAATCTTTGAGCCGCCGACTGATTTGTTTTTGTTTGTACGATCTTTCTGATTACAGTTTATTTCAATTTAAACGTCTTATCTTATAACGTTGAGCATCTCTTTTTAAGTTATAACTCTCAATAACAAAATTATTATTAGTTCCCTTAATGAAACTGACGTTTTTATTCCTTTAGTTATTTTTTCTCACTGTTACCATGTTTGGAGAAATATCCACCATCACTATTATTGCCATTACAGGTACTTCATAAATAAGTATGTGTTCAAGATTGCATTTTGAGATTGAATTTTCCACAAAGACAACTTTAGGCTGAACACATCTTTCTAATTTTATGTTTCATTGCTTTCATTTCGCTTAGTTGTAAACCAATTACAAAAACTTACACGATGTACGAGGAGTAAGGAATGTTGATATCACATAACGCAAGCTCATTACACATTATGGATTAACTTCGTCATCTCATTTCTCTATCAAAAAATGATTATCCTACTCCAGGTGAAAGATATGACCATAAAAGCCAAAATACAAATACGCTCAACAAGCGCATCATAAATAGAACAAAAGTATAACATAGAATGTACTATCATTACCATCGATAACATATTGAACTCTCTTCTATGTAACTTGAGAATTAAACATGTCAAGAGACTAGGTGATCCTGTTAATTGTCCCTTAAATTCTGGGGAATCTGAAGAAACGACCAGGAGAACAGCTTAGACTGATTTATTTGACTCTTATCTGGCAGATGAAATCACTTCCTGAACGTAAATAAAGTCCTCAAGAATTTTTGGCTACTGGTTTTGTCGATTCAGGTAATTTAGAAGCTTGGTTTCTCTACGGAGCAAACGAATTTTCAGTGCTGAATGTTATTTAAAGCTCTGGGATAACTTCGTTCCATAATTCGGGGATCTTACTGGGAGCTGACGATCTAAGTTAACTGAACTCAGTTGAAATTAAGATAGAAAACAGCTTAAGGTGATCAAGTAAATTAGTTTAGCTTCATCCAAAGTAAAATATTTTCACATTTGCTGTGGGTCCTTTGGCATGTGTAGAAATTTTGAAAACAGAGAGAGGTAAATTGTATGATACATGTTGGTTGTGTCAAGAAAAGTAGTTTATCAAAACTCATAATTATTAAACTTTCCTCTTACTTTTCTGAGAATGATAATCTCATCCAAACAGGCATCGTCACTTTTGGATATCTGGCCATATGTACTTTTAGCAAAAATTCTGTTCGTGTTACACATAGCTGAATTTCTTGTGTAATGCTTATCAGGTGAATTTATCTGCTTTCTCGAAGAAATTCCGAAGATTAGATTTGAAAGTTCACTGTTTCCCTCTTCATTGACTGATTTTGAAATACTGTAGGCGGATGATTGGCGTAAAACATTTCTGTCCATTTATTCCAGAGATTTGTTTTATCAACGCATACTCAAGGATTTGTGATACGCGGTGTTTTCCTGGTACATAGTGAAGTCAAGGACATTAAAGAAATATTGTATTCGAGATCCAATCCCTTTTGCCTCAACATATTCGACGATTTATTAACCATCTGATGTAAATCAACTGTAATTCTATCGCTGTAAAATAATGGAATGAAGCCAAAGTCTGTGGAAGTATCTGGAAATAATAAGGAAACACACAGCGTTTCTGCAAAAATAAGTTTGTTTGTATGTAAGTTTATTCAAAAATCTTTAAAAATATAATACATTTTAAGGAAGATGTAAGTGTTTCTTGGTCTATTGATAAAAACTCCATTCACTAGCACGTACGTATCAATTCTGAATTTCTGCATTTATGGGTCGTTTCGCCTTCGTTTTTCAGCTTACAAGATATAAATATCCATGTCTTCCCTCAAAATTCTTTAAAAAAACAACCACATGTAGTCTGAACACAAGCCAAATAAATCTTAAAAGTTACAACCTATAATCCATCGTAACAAAAATTTGCTGGAGATAATATCAGCACAATAGTTCGCAATTAGCTGAAGGTAAATTGTTTAAAACTTTAAGATTACCTATGTCAGCACCCATCTTGCGAAAATCGCATCTCAGTGGCTACTCATTCTTTATCGTCTAGAGAAATCACTTATATCTAAAAACAATATAGTTAAGTAAGTTCTTAGAAGAATTCAAATTGTCAGCACAAAGATTCATGATTCCCTTTTAAATGTAGTATTGTAGACGTAATAACATGTAATATCACGAACAAAAAAGTACCGCTTAGTTAGTAGCCTCAACTTACGATTGTCATAATCTTTTTTGAGGTCCTTTTTGTGGCTTACGAAATGCAGTGGATTGGAAAAACTATAACCACATGACATAACTGGATAAAACTCATTCAAAACAATTTACGAGAGAAAACCAGATGCTAATGCCTATAGGATTTAAAAAATAGCATAAGAGCTACTTGAAAAAGTTCTGATAGGAAACTACGGTTTATAAACTGCTTAACAAATTAAATATGTACCACTTCTGATTGTATTACTTTACATCCTGAAACATGATAATATTGGTCAGCCACTAACTTCTAATGTCTACTTGAGAAATAATAATCCACATAAAACTAGATTCATTGCCGGTTCAGAATTGTTTCTCCTTTGTTAGTCCAGATATGAGAAGTTGAAGTGACACTGGACACTTCGTATATGGACAGCACGAAGACAAGATCATCATAGAGGTGTAAATTACTTGTTCATTTCCAAGCAATTTTCAGATTTCAATCGATTTTTCCTAAATCACCAGCAGAATAAAAGCACTTCACTAACTATGCTATCATGTACGAACATACTAAGAGACTGATTTAGTAAAACAACAATATTTTCAAGTCAACAGTATTCAAGCATATGAAAATTGGATCTTATGATCTATTTTAAAAATTGTCTCGAGGTGGGTTTTTGCTGCAAAACTAACGTCTGCGTATGTAATTAAACTGCAATGCCTACTTTAGCGACTAATATCACAGTGACGAATAAAAGCCATGGAAACAGAAGTGACCTGCAACACATCCTCATTTATTATTGTTCAACGGAGAGAATCTTATTTTTAATATCTCAACTGCACCAGTAGGAGATATGTCCTAACAAAGTAACAAACGAAGCATAAAGGCTCTTTAACTTACGTGAAGTATGTATAATTCTAGCAATTCTTTGTCAGGACCCTTTGTTTGATGACACAACTATCGTGGTTACTCAGTACAGTATTAAAACCAGATTAACTCCATGTGATAATTTGTTGAGGGCTCTTAAATAGAGGGACAAAGTTTGTGTCACCTCATAGTGACAATGGAATAATATTGAACCTTTGTCGTACGATTCTTCAAACTAGATGCATACCATATTAAACAGTGAAATGAAAATGGTGATAAAAATCGACACAGGGGCACGATTGAGACTATATAGATCGGTTATCGTATTTACTTTTATCGCGTTAATATAAAACGCTTTATTTATTCTACAGGATTGTATTTATGTTATATGTTGGACCGCCGATTAGAGGGTAGTGAATTATCGACTGGACCGATGACGCGTAAAACACGTGCGAGCAGCCTATAGTTCTGATTGGTTCTGCTTTCCACCTAGCCCAGCCAGTTAAGTCCAGAACGCCAATCTCAGCCTCTGCAATATCAATCATTATATTCCAAACATACTAAGTTTATATACCAATCAAACAGACCACAACGTAGCATAAAAGAGAAAATAACATTTGTACAAATTTTGGCCAAATGTGGCTATGAATATGGGAGGCAGTGACCAATAAACAGGGCATAATTCAAAAATGGTAAAACGTATGATAATGGTTCATAGGTCAAAATAAAGCTTATAATAAAAGGAACATGTATATATATATATATATATATATATATATATATATATATATAGTTTATTTATTTAACAGTTATACGATAAAAATATACGTTAGTACTGTTCCATAAATGGATCCCAAAATTAACATTCATTATCCCTGTCGGGACATAACGACTTATTCATCAAAAGAGTTCGCAAAGCAATATTCCTGAATGCTACCATGAAGGCAAAAACCTTCGGTAGCAGTCATATCTCTCTAACTGAAACCCTATCAAAACAACGATTTTGTCGGAGGAGGGCACAAAGAATTTTATATTTACCCTCGTTTCGATTCAGCACTCGTGGTGACAAATTTCGAATTGAATAACCTTCAGGAACTTTAGATTGAAATGAATGTTTCAGAGACGGTTTGCATAGTGTTCATATATGAGATAGGTATAAGTGTACTACCTAGTGCTACTAAACAGATTGACCTAGTGCGCTTAAGATGACTCACCACGATATGACTACCTAAGTCAGATTCACAATACTAACAAAACGGTTTAACGTACCATGGTCGTCGAGAGCATCATTTCATACCAAGCTTTAAAGAAGACAATCAGGCTTATCAGTGTGATAGTATGCTCGACATAAACATGGAAACATTGAAGTGACCATGCCTGCCTAACCGAGGCATTCAGTCGCAATGATGTTCCCACGCCAACATTTTGACCTTCCCTACTTTTTTATCAGCTATTCCACGTCCAGTATTCTGCCTTTTAAAATAGAAACTGTTTAGGCTGCTGATTGGTTTACGGTGTGGGTTCACAAACTGTGTTGGATTTTGCCACTGTGGATTCAATAGTTGTTGGCACGTAGCTACATAGATTAGGAGATACTCGTGGATTAAGGATTTTTGTGTTGCACTTTAATTCGTATTTTCCTAAAACATGTACACAACTTCTAAAATTAGACTTTCTCGTTTGTGTTTTTGACTAACATTAACGCTAGTACTAGTAGTATCCACTCAATAACTGTTTCTTCTATGACCGATGCAAATCTTCCGACCAGTTCATAAATACAATGGTAACATTTGTCGCCTGAAACAATGTATATAAATTCCTGAACCTTGTAGCAACAGTAACTTCATTTATAGTGTGAGAATAGCAAATCGATGAGTTTTGAACCACAGTATCGGTCCCATAAATTCTAATCTAAAAACTTCATCACAAAGAATGTCGATATTCTTGATATTAAAACTGTTCGGTTTGTCATTAATCCAATCGTTGCGCCTAACTTTAGTACTCCATTTCCGTCTCATTTTTCTTCTTGATTTTAATACTGGTTTCACGCCACTCCATAAAATGTACGGTTCTCTATACCCAGCCATATTTAAAGCCTGATCATTATGCTAAATGATATTTTTGTTACAACGAACCACTTATTTTACCTTATTATCCTTCCATTCATTCTAGTAACTACCATGTTTGTTTATTTTCTCCCAAACTTTATTCGTAAATGTCGAAATTTGTTGGTATCCATTAATTCACATATTACGAGTTATATGATCCTTCGTTAATGCTAATGTTTTACAGAGCCCTATATTACTTTCTAACTTAATACATGTGGAATCAGTTTGCATATCAGGATTACATTTTACATTTATGTAGCAAATTAGACTACGACAAACTCACCATCAAAAAAGAGATTTATCTGGTGATCTAAAAGTAAGATCACATTACGATTGTCATAATAACTGTGAAAACATCCTTGAACAATAGGTTTTGAAAAGCGTCAGAAATGAAGTATAAAGTCATTTGATGACAAAACTTCAAAACACATTCGAAATCACTTATAATAAGTCATGATATATTAAAAACCTGCATATTAATTTGGTAGGAATACAAGAGAAAACATTTTGTCCTAAAATAATATGTATTCTAGATAAATGGGTCAACCTGCAACACCATGTAAAGTTAATTAATTTAATGATACTGCAAGTAATGTCAAAAAAAACGAAATACATGTCAAAGTCAATATGTATACGATTGTTTTGGCAAGGAATAAACATTAAATTTTAAAGCAACATGAAGTATTTGTGACTTGATTGTTTTTTATCTCAAGTTTACACTGTGCTTCATCTGGCAATCTCCTGTTTCCTAAAGAATTAACCAGGACGTCTGCAGCACACTCAACTTTTGGAAACTTGATGAAAAGTGAACTCCTGTTACCTAAAATAGAATTTTCCCTTCATGTTTCTGACTTAGCCATAATTAAATATAGACTTAACTGATTTCTCAGAGTATATCACAGAGGCTAGCTCAGAAAATAACTTAATCTCCTGTTTGTGATTAGTTATGTAATATACTAATTAACAAATACAAGAGAGGTGTCTTTTTTAAAACATTACACATTCACTTGAGTGGATGAACAGAAGTTTTTATATTGAAAATGAAGAGCAATTTTAATCACTTGAGGGTTTATATCGGTTTATTCCTATGTTTTCTATTCTCTGTTCCAAATAAAAAAGGAAGTGTGATTTTACCTCTGGTTCAAACTATTTAATTCTAAGAGTTCTAAACTTTTTTACTGAACTTACAAACCGTGTGTGCATTGCAACTATGTGATCATAGAAGCTGTTAATTCTTTGTTGGAATATGGTGAAAAAACTGAGTATC